ACAGCGGGGTGGATGGCCCCCTGTTCCACGGTGGCAGCCTAATGCCGACGCTCTCTACCGTGTCGCCCTCGTTGGACAGCACGGGCGTGGCGCCCTCGGCCACCACACAGTACCCGCCGCCGCCCAAGTTTTACAAGTTGGAGTTCACCACATACGACGGCTCCGTTGATCCCCTGAATTGGCTCAACCAGTGTTTGCAATTCTTTCGGGGTCAGTGCACGCTCGCCTCTGACCATACCTGGCTCACCTCCTATCATCTCTGGGGGACGACCCAGACTTGGTACTATGCCCTCGAGCAGGACGAGGGCATGCCACTGTGGGAGCGCTTCAAGGAGCTATGTCGTTTGCGCTTCGACCCTCCGATCCGCGGGAGTCGGCTGGCTGAGCTAGGCCGGCTGCCGTTTGTTTCCACTGTGCAGGAGTTCGCCGATCACTTCCAGGCGGTGGCATGTCACGCCCGGGACATCTCCACGCGTCAGCGGGCCGAGCTCTTCGTTGGTGGCCTTCCGGATCATATCCGGGTGGACGTGGAGATGCGCGACCCCCCCCCCGGACCTCCAGACGGCCATGTACTACGCCCGAGCGTTCGAGCGTCGTGCGGCTACCATGCAGCCGGCGCCGCCTCCTCGAGCCGCTCGTCTGGCTCCGCGTCAGGGTCAGCCTCCTTCGGCGTGCGCACCTAGGGTGGCCCAGGCGGGATAGGCCCTCGCTGCGGCCAATGCGGCCCCCGCGGCACGCCCGTTTCGCCGCCTTACACCGGCGGAGCAGCTGGAACGTCGTCACCAAGGACTATGCTACAACTACGATGAGCCCTATGTCCCTAGATATGTGTGTCAGCAGCTCTTCTACCTAGAGTCCAGGGACTACATTGAGGAGGACACCGCGCCTGCCGAGGACGGGGACGCGGCCATACCACTAGAGGAGCCGGCCGCCCAGGGGCAGGCGGCCGCTAACGCTCTCATCGTGTCCCTCCATGCACTTGCAGGTATCCAGACGGAGAACACGATGCTACTGCAGGTGATGGTCAAGGGGGAGCACCTCTTGGCCCTTCTCGATACCGGCTCCACCCACAACTTCCTCCTAGACGCAACTATGCGCTGCCTGGGGCTTCCGCCCACCGAGGGGCCATAGCTCCACGTCATCGTCGCCAACGGTGATCACCTACGTTGTGAGGGCATCGCCCGACACATCCCCATCAGCATCGGGGCCGAGGACTTCTCCATCACATGCGTTGGCCTCGACTTGGGCTGCTTCGACTTCATCCTCGACGTCGACTTCCTGCAGACCTTGGGCCCCATTCTCTGGGACTTCGAGGCCATGATGTTGGCCTTCTGGTGTGAGGGTCGCCACGTCCTCTGGAAGGGCGTGGGTGGCTCTGACTCGACTGCGCCCCAGCAGCATGTGGTGGCGACCTCTGTCAACTCTCAGCAGCCCTTGCTGGACCGCCTACTACAGCAGCATGGTGCCATCTTTGAGGAGCCGCAGGGCCTTCCACCAGCCCGTCCGTATGACCACCGCATCCACCTCCTACCGGACACCGCTCCCATCGCCGTGCGCCCGTACCGCTACCCCCAGCTGCAGAAGGACAAGCTAGAATGACAGTGCGAGGACATGCTCACCCAGGGCATCATCTAGCCTAGCACTTCGCCATTCTCGGCGCCCATGCTCCTTGTCCGCAAAGCGGACAAGTCTTGGAGCCTCTGCATCAACTACCACGCCCTCAACACCAAGACGTCCAAGGACAAGTTCCCCATACCGGTCATGGATGAGCTTCTCGATGAGCTCCATGGGGCTTGCTTCTTCACCGAGCTCGATCTGCGTTCGGGCTACCACTAGGTGTGGATGCACCCCGACGACATCGCCAAGACCGCCTTCCGCACACACCACGACCACTATGAGTTCCTAGTGATGCCTTTTGGCCTCTCCAACGCCCCGGCGACATTCCAGGCATTGATGAACGACGTCCTTCGCCCCTACTTGCGGAGGTTTGTGCTGGTCTTTTTCGATGATATTCTCATCTACAGCTCTTCGTGGGCGGCGCATCTGCAACACATTGCCATCGTCCTCAACGAACTTTGGGCGCATTGTCTTCACCTTAAGCGCTCGGGGGCGATGTCCGTGGCCTACCTGGGCCACGTCATCTCTAGGACAGCGTCTCCATGGACGCCAACAAGGTGTCGGCGGTCGCTGCGTGGCCCCCGCCGCGCTCCGCTCGGGGCCTCCGGGGCTTCCTGGGCCTCGCGGGCTACTACCAGAAATTCATTCGGGAGTTCGGCCTCATCGCGGCGCCCCTGACGCGTCTCTTGTGACGAGACGCATTCGCCTGGGACACAGAGGCAGAGGAGGACTTCCAGGCGCTTAAGCGCGCCCTCACCACCGGGCCCGTCCTCTAGATGCTCGACTTCGACAAGCTATTCATGGTGGACAGCGACGCGTCCGCGCGTGGGGTTTAGCGCCATTCTCCACCAGGGTGCTGGACCTCTCGTGTTCTTCAGCAGGCCGTTCGCCGCATGCCATCTCAAGCTCCCATCTTACGAGTGGGAGCTCATCGGGTTGGTCCAAGTTGTGCGCCACTGGCACCCGTATCTGTGGGGGCGCCACTTCCTTATTCGCACTGACCATTACAGCTTGAAGTTCCTCCTGGACCAGCGCTTGTCTACCATTCCGCAGCACTAGTGGATCAGCAAGCTGTTCGGCTTCGACTTCACCATCGAATACCGCCCCGGGCGCCTCAACACCGTGGCAGACGCCCTGTCCCGGCGCGACACCGAGCATGGGGCCGAGGAGGATAGCAGCGTGGGCGCTGCCATGTACGCCCGCTCAGGCCCCTCCTTCACTTTCATCGACGACATCCGCCGCGCCATGGCGACAGCGGCGGACGCACAGCTACTCCTTTGGCGCCTTGAGGTGGGTGACCTACAGGGGCCATGGCGCCTTGACGACGGGCTGCTCCTTCATGGTAGTCACCTCTTCGTCCCCGACCACGGCGACCTACGCCATCAGGTGCTCCTTTTGGCGCACTCGGCCGGGCACGAGGTCATTCAGAAGACCCTCCACCGCCTACGCTCCGACTTCTATATCCCCGATGATCGCGCGCTGGTGCAGGACTGGGTGCGGTCCTGCAGTACCTGTCAGCGCAACAAGACAGAGACACTGCAGCTGGTGGGACTGCTACAGCCACTGGAGGTTTCGTCCCAGGTATGGGCGGATATCTCCATGGACTTCGTCGAGGGCCTCCTGAAGGTGGGCGGCAAGTCCGTCATACTCACGGTGGTCGACCGCTTCTCCAAGTACGTGCACTTCATCGCGCTCGGCCACCCCTACACCGCCACCTCCGTCGCTCGCGCCTTCTTCGACGGCATCGTCTGGCTCCACGGGTTTCCCTCCTCCATCAACAGCGACCGGGATCCAGTGTTCACCGGCCACGTCTGGCGCGACCTCTTCCGGATGGCCGGCGTCAAGCTGCGTATGAGCACGGCTTTCCACCCACAGACTGACGGCCAGTCCGAGGTGGTGAACAAGGTGATTGCCATGTACTTGTGGTGTGTTACAGTTGACCGCCCGCGTGCGTGGGTGGACTAGCTCGCCTGGGCGGAGTACTGCTACAACACCTCCTACCACACCGCCCTACGCGCCACTCCATTCGAGGTGGTCTATGGCCATCCCCCGCCGCCCATCCTGCCTTATAAGTCGGGGATGGCCCGGACAGAAGCTGCTGACGCCCTCCTCCGCAGCCGTGATGAGATCCTTGCCGAGGTGCGCCAGCGCCTCCAGCAGGCGCAGCAGCTGTCCAAGAAGTACTACGACGCCAACCACCGTGACTTGGAGTTCGCCGTCGGCGACAGGGTCTCGCTACGGCTGTTACATAGAACAGCGCAGTCCCTGGACCCCCGTGCCAGATGCAAGCTTGGGCCTCGCTATGCAGGACCGTTCCAAGTGTTGGAGCGCATTGGGCGCGTCGCCTACCACCTGCAGCTGCCGGAGGGCGCCCGCATCCACGACGTCTTCCACGTGGGGCTGCTGAAGCGGCACCGCGGAGATCCGCCTGCTGTTTCGGCCACCCTTCCACCGGTCCTCGATGGTCACGTTCTGCTAGGACCAGAGCGGGCGCTGCAGGCGCAGCAACGCCGTGGTGTCTGGCGCGTGCTGATCAAGTGGTGTGGCCTTCCGGACGAGGATGCTACCTGGGAGCCTCTCGACGAGTTCCGCGAGCACTTCCCTGACTTCCAAATCGAGGACGAGTTGTTTGCGCAGGCAGGGAGAGATGTTATGACCGGCATCCCCTATGCCAGGCGCAGGCCCAATAGTGGCTAGGGGGCCGGTCTGTTAAGGGGCTTAGAGGCCCAATTTATCGTTTATTTGGTATTTTTTTAGAGATAGATATAGTTCCTTAATTTTAGCAATCTATAGGGAAGGATAAATACTTGTAATCGGGGATGATTGAAATTAAGCAGAAAGCAATAATTAAGTTGCTGGCTTCCCTTGGGAGCTAGTCGTCCCTACCCTCTCTCCCTCGCGTGAACAGTACCTGCGTTACTGTAGCTCTACATGAACTCTAGGGCTGCAGCAGCCGCCGCTCTCGCCGCCACGGCCCCTCGCCGACGTCGAGAGTACAGACCACGTCCTCCCCTCTTCCACCCCTATAACCTGCGCAGCAACGCCAGTAGGGCATCAAGTCCTATCACACCGAGTCTTCAGCTAAAATGACCTTCTGATCACATTCATCATTCAGGAACTCAGGTAAACATCAGTACCGTACCGACGCAGCAGCTGCAAATTTGGCAATCCATCAACTTCACCACATACATAGCAATGCACATATATACAATAAAGTTACAAGGCACAAAGGTTATTACATGTGTAAAACCATATAACACGTACAATCTCGACAGCCAAACAAGCACACGACGATATTGCCTTGCCTCTATTCGCTTCAGGTGTAGTGGCCGCCGCCCGTGCCGGTCGGCGGTGGGACACCGTCAGTCCCGTGGAAGCCAGCGTCACGTTGGACGCCGGCGCCGCCGGGCGGCTTCGCTGCTACGCCCGTCTCGGTCGTAGCAACCGGCGCACCAGCACCAGCAGCGGGTGCCGTCGTCGCCGAGCGGCGTCGGGTGGCGCGGGCGTACCTCGCGAACGCGCTCCTGCATCCTGGCGTCCGCCGCCGCCTTCTCCGCGGGGTCGTGCGCCCTCGCCTTGGCCACCTTCTCCTGCACGACGGCCTTGGTCTTCTCCTTGCCGGCCCACGCCGACGTGCCCACGTTCGCCGCCGCCTCCTTGGCGGCCTCCACCGCGCTCGCGCTCCTCCCGCCTTGCATCGCAACGGGGCCGATCGAATTGCCCACTGAGAGTTGAGTTGAGTAGCAACTGCAACTGCGTGCGTGCCGGTTGGATTTGTGTGCGTGTCGTTTTATGCATGTAACCGCGCCTCGCGTCAGGCTGTACACGTGTACATGCACGTGTCCCGGGATCAGCTTCAACCGCCGTGTACGTGTATTGGGTTCAAGAACCTGCAGTGTGCTCTCCATCACACGTGCCATAAAAAGCTAGCGACACGAGCACAGGAAGAGTCGACTGATATATTCTTTCTTTTTTATGCAAATATATATTCTCTTTCTGATTAGCTATTATACTCCACTGTTTCACGCTTTAGAAAAGTATATAAAAAGATCTAAACTCTTTTTTTTAATAAAGTTCACGTATATATTAAGACGTTAGAACAAGAGTATATAGATTTGAAAAATACATACCCAATTAAATAGCAGAAGTAACCGAGCGACGAGAAGTAGAACCACTATCTATACCTGCCCATGCAGCCCGAGGCTCGGCAGCCTGGCCCGAAGCCCAACCTTTTGGCCCGACACGAGCACGGCCTGGCCCGCCGGCCAACGGGCTCAGGCTGGCCCGGCACGGGGTTTTGGAGGAGGCCCGGCAGCGACCCGAGAGGGAGGTGGCCTAGCTCGCCAACGGCTCCCCCCACGCCGCCACCCTAGACCCCACCTATAAAAGGCGGCCGATGCGGCGCCCCCCCTCTCGGCCTCCCGTCAGTCCCGCACTCCCGCTCGTAACCTAACCCTAATCCCCAATTCCCCATTCGCCCATTCGCATCCCACAACCACAAGCCGTCGCGCCGCTCTCAAACGCAGTGGCCAGTGACGCCTCGCCATCTCCGACGCCGACTCCGGTGACCACGATCCGCCTCCCGCCGGCGTCCTCCCCTCCGTCCCTGCCTCCCCCTTCTCCCTCTCCCTATCTCCCCTCTAGATCTCGTTGATTATGTGAGTTGGTTGTCTCTGTTTGTCCCTCCTCCGCCGTCCGTCGTCGTTGCTGACTGAGTGTCGTCTTCTCTGGACTCTGGGTGCTCGTCGTCTTCTCCGGCACCGGGCTCCGGCTGTGCAGGTGAAACCCTAACCCTAACCCCTAACCATGGTCTAATTTCTTCTTTTTCTTTCAATGTATGCTTTTGATTTCTTCTTCTTCCATTGTTTCGCAGGTCGGTAGCCGATGCATCGTCTTCTAGCTGCGGCTTAGAGCGAGCAAGGCGGCCACCCGCACCGTCGAGGAACGGGGCTGGAGAGGCAGCCATGGCCGACGAGGATGGCCTCCTGCCGGTTGGCCTGGCCCTAGAGGGCGAGAACGATGACGACACTTGAGCCGACACTGCTGGGATTGGTTTGTGTGTATTTTTTTATCCTGTCGGTTGGTCTGTGTGTATGGTTTTGGTTTTGGTTTGAAGCTCTTCTGGGGAAAAAATACTTCAAATTTGAATACTTCTTGTTGAGATGAATTTTTTGATGTGTTTTGAACCCTACGGGCCTCGGGCTGGCACGGCCTGGTGATTTGGCCGTGCCTAGCAGGCTGGCACGGCATGGATTTAGGCCCACAGGCCCGTGCTTGGGCTGATGGCAAGGCACGAGGCCCGCAGCGGCACGGCACGGGAGGCACGGCGTGCTGTGCCGCCCCGACATCCTCCGGGTCGTGCCGAGCCGGGCCGGCCCGATGGCCAAGTATACCACTATCACTGCCGGTCAATGATGACAGGCTCATTACTTATAAGGTTTCTAGAAAATCCAAAAACAGGTTGAAAAAATAGCTTTTAATACTAGGAGAGAACCCACAACTTCGCGACCTCATGCTTCGCGCATTCATATCCTAACCATTTCACCTACAGGACACTTATGTCCATTTCGGATATTCGTCCTCCCCATTTTATGTTCATCTGGTTTTAAAATTAGAATTGGAGACCTTAAATAAATTAAAATGAAAAAGTTGTCAACTATAAAATTTTATAACTTTTCAGGATCTACAACTTTAGTTTTGGTCATTTCTCCGTCCAAGATCGTTTGAATAATTTGAATTTCAAGTGTGAGGAAATTCAAACGTATTTTTTCTTGGATAGATTATTTCAAATGAAAAAGTTGTTAACTCAAAGTTGCATAACTTTTTGAGAACTAGAAGTTTTGTTTTGGTTGTTTCTCCATCCGAGTTCGTTTGAAAATTTTGAATTTCAAATGTGAGAATTCAAACGTAATTTCCATTGGATAGATGATTTCAAATAAAAAAGTTTTCAACTACAAAGTTGTATAACTTTTCGAGATTTACTTTTGTTTTGGTCGCTCCTCCTTCCAAGATCATTGCCTATTACTAAACACTTACCTGTGACTATAGAGCATGTGGATTCCTTTGGTATGAACTCTATAAGATCTTGTGAATCTTATATTTCGGCATCAAAATAACTCTAACAAAAAGATTGCGAACTACAAAGTTTCATAACTTATCGATATCTAGAACTTTTGTTCTGTTTATTTCTCCATCCGAGATCATTCCCTACCACTACACACTCACCGGTGACTATAGAGCATATGGATTCCAATGGTATAAACTCTATAAATCTTGTGGTGGATATTTTGGCATCCAAACAATCTCAAATAAAAAAACGTTTGAACTACAAAGTTGTATATCTCATCGAGTACTACATCTTTGGTATAATAAGTTATTAGTTGAGTATTCAACTAACGATTAGCTAAACTATTAACAAAGCTAATTATTATCAACTAACTATTAGCTAGGGCATTAGCCATCTAGATCATGGGAACAACATGTGCGCATAGCAAAGTTTGTGGTGTTTGCATGCAAGAAAGGAGGAGGCATGTGTGAGACTCATTTGGGGTGTGGGCCAATAGGTGCTCTCACATTCGTCTTGTTTGTTTTGACTTGTTTGACTGATAAGTCATGGCTAAAAGTACTGTTGGCTGATTTGGTGTGAGAGAAAAATAATGTTCGTTGACTGAAAAAATACGGCTTATAAGCCAAACAAACCCAAACGAACAGGACGATGGTCTCTAAACCTTTTTTTAAGAATCAAACAGAAAAGCTACTTATTATATTAAAAGAATAAACTCATACTGAACAGCACAACGAAACAACGACGACGAGCTAGAAACAACGAAACTACATTCTCCCTGTTCTGCTGGTGGTATTTCGGCTAATTCAATAGTATTTTTATGAGAAAGAATAAGCCAAAATAAACACAAGCTGACTAAAAAGTACATGAGCAGAACACGAAATTGTCTCTAAACCAAGAGGCCTCTCGGTACCTATCAAAAATAAAAAAGAGGCCTCTCCGTAGATGCCTTCACTATATTTAAAACGTGGTGTCCGATCCGAATAAATAAAAGTGTTCAGTTACGTGGCACCTCTCTATAGAAAAGAAACTTAGGCCAGAGAGGTGTTCCTCTTCTACTCTCTTCGGCCAAAAAAAAACGATCCTAACTTTACATTTAAAAATAATATTATTTATGCTCTCAGATAATTATAATTAGATTCATTATAAAATAGTCTAGCTATTTGGAGTCCTAATGTTATTAATATTTTGTATAACTTATTCAAATTTAAAGAAGTTCGGCTTAAGGGTTTTTTAACAGCAAGAGACATCTCTGTTGGGTTCTTTTATAATCCGTCTTTTTCAGCTTGTTTTTTTAGCCGGAACAATATTTTTCTCTCACAACAAATCAGCCGAAACAGTGTTTCGGCTTGTTTTTTCAGCGAAGCGAACGGGGCCTTTAGATTCTTAATAGAACCACTAGAATCACTACCAAAGAAAAACCGTTCTAGTTTTAAGAATTTAGTGAGTTAGTTAAACGGTTATATAAATTGATTCTGATTTAACATAGAAATGTTTTTAAAGAGAATTTAAATTTGAAACATTTCTAAACTATATATCCGGATCTCTACCGAACAAACCCTTAAACCAAACCCAAAACTGCATCTTTTTGAGACAGACAGTAATTGTGAGCAGATGTCATCCCTCTCTTCCGTCTCTTTTTCTGAATTTCTTCAACCCCAGCTGCCACACTTTTCCAAAAAAAAAGGTTGCCACGTCATCTGACCTAGCACAGATAGGGTCGGTCCAAGCAAGATTCTTTGACTAAAAACACCAACATAACAGATGATTCGGTATACATGGAAAAGCGGCGTATTTACCTCCTTCAACTATTTCCAAAGCCACGCCACCGTGCAAGTTTTGAAATTATTCTAAGTTGTTTGACATGATCGAATGAGCAGACAAAAATACAGACCAGAGTTGCAACTCATTTACCCCGAAGTCCAGACCTCGGAGATTTGTTATACAAACAGAAGCAGACAGCAAAACAAACTCAATTGATGCGAAATCTAAATCTGCATTAGTGCATTGCATAGACCAGGAGACTGGAGCCTGTTACAGTTCCCATTTTTTTTTTTTTGAAACAATGGCAGGAGCTCTGTCTTTCAATTAAGACGAATGAAGTTTATATATAAGCAAAAGGTAGCCAAGCGTGGCGCCAAACACCACGAAAGGTTACCCACCCACGCAACGCGACAAAGTACACACTACCATGAGTCATCGTTGCCGAGCATAGTTGCAAAGCAGCTAGCAGTTCCCATTTCTAACGGGTAACTGACAGTCCGAGAACTAAAAAACAGAATCTCCTGCAAAATCTACCATCCTCCAAATTAATTCCAAAATTTGACTGCCTTGCTCAGACCTGCACGTACTACTCCGGTTCAAACCTAACTGCCCACATTCAGCTGAAATGTGCTCATGTGGATAAAGGAGGGCTGTCAAGTGCAAGTCCCATTGTGTTGATCCCATTGTCAACGTAAACAGTTGAGCCAGTGATTGCTGATGCCAAAGGAGACGCAAGGAATGCTGCCGTGTTTCCCACTTCATCTGTTGATATGTAATGCAAGCAGTTTTCAGAGAAAGTAAAGAAGAAATCCCCCTTTTTTCCCTTTTCAGGCAGGCAAAATAGATATAAAGGAAAGAAGGAAATTTAAC